GAATTTGTAATTTCAGAGATATCGTTCATCGACAGATCGCGATGGATGCTGTTGCGCATTTGACATTAGGTGTGTACGGGTTCGGTTGTGAGGACGCCCTCATACATATCTTCAATTACGTATGGCCGAATATGCTTGAAAATTCACCACATGTCATCCAACGGTATCGTTTTCGTTGTGTACCGTCATTGCATCCTATTATTGTTGTCAGTTATCGTTAGCTGTTATGTTACTAATGTTTTATTGTTTCAGATTCATATTTTCATGCGATGCCATGCGTGTTTCATTGGGTCCAATCCGTGTAATGCAGTATTGCCTACAAGCCCTTTGGCATCCGGCTCGAAAAGTTCGAGAGCCAATTTGGAAGGTAAATATTTCATTTTGTTCATCATCGACTTTCAACCCTCATTGTTTCTCAATTGATGGAATAAGAATCATGCATCACTACGCATGTCTTGACTGATTATTGATGAAAAGCTGGTGAAATAAAGTGATCAGTTCGTGGAATGTGAATTGATTGAGCTCATTAGCATAGCTGGATTTGTGTTCGATTTAATGAGAGGTGCATTTTAAGGTATTCAACAATCTGATGTTAGGATCGCAGGATGCTCTAGTGGCTGGATATCCGCGAGTACAGAACACCGAACGGAATTCGTATATTCGATATGAATTGGATTACGTTCTTTGAGGAATGACATTGGTTTTGGTTTAATCATTATTACTGTTATTGTCGTTTTTATTATTATTAGTTTTATGTTCGTAAATGGATTGACCAATTTCATCGTTTATCGTCGTTATAATTACGTTGATAAGATATTGTGTATGAGTGAGACGAGATGTGTTATTATTGTTATTGTTGTTGTTGAGTGAAATTATTGAGATTTGGTTTTATTTTTATTATTAGTGTGGCATAAGCTGTTTGAACGATTGAAGTAGTAGCAGCATGTCTAAACTGAATTTAAATATGTGAATGTAATATCGTGAACCGTTAACTTTTGAAATATATTTTCGTTGTTTTTATTTGAATATGTTTAAGCAGTCATTATTGAACGAGGTTAGTAATTTAGCAAATGATTTGTTTGAATGCTTTATTGTTGTGGAGGTATTGAAAATTTGGAATGGATAGTTTTATGAAAATTATGGGAAATCGAGAATTTATTTTCTTTGTCGATGGTGCGAATTTTACCAGTAATGAAAGTTCTAATTTGCAAGCTTCCAATTTGGGCGATTCTCTCCTTGTCGCAGTTCAGAAATAACATTTCTTCTTGATGTTATTCAGTTTGCTTGTTTTATTAATATTATTATTATCATTGTCATCATTATTATTTTTTCTTGGGAATATCGCTTTTATTCCTATAACATAACAGATATTATTACCATTTTTCACATGTTACTTCAGTTGTGACTAATTCACAGTTCAAGTCTTCAAATTTCGTCTGAAAATGTCCTCTCATAAAAGTGTTTAATCGTATTACTTGGGTTATTTTCTACCATCGTGTTTCAACCTATTTATGTGGTGATTTGATCATAATTTCTGTCGTATTAGCTTGGTTATTCGATGACATTATGATGGTTCTACACGATGAGCTGTTATTGTAGCAGTATGGTTAATCTACCGTTTACAATAACATGCTCATTCAAATACAACAGTTTTCTTAGCACCATACATAATTGTTATCGATGGATTGTGTTTGACTCATTTTTTGAGGATCGTAATGACAATGATGTGAATTTGTTGCAGATACTTGTCGTGTATTGTTTCAATCACGACAGCTGTCGGAATATTGAAAAGGCAGGTTCATGACTTTCAATATTCTGATGCTATCATTGTCATTATTACCACTATTGTATATGTTTGTTTCTCATAATCATTGTTTTGTTTGTTTGTTTTTTTTNTTTTTTTTGATAATAAATGTTTCATAATTATTGCGTTGTTTCGAGAGAACGGCGTATGAAGGCGGCACACAACAGGAACTTGTTGAAACACCACAGAGAAAGTTGGTTATAGAAACCCAGAAAATGAAATAATACATTACCACGTATCGCTTATATTGTTGGGTTCGTTCTCAAGTTGATGTTTATGTAACTTTTGATTTGTCGAATCATAAACTCATCTAGGGCATGCACATAATGTTCAATACAATGCACTTTTGAAGGAAACTGGTGATTTTCGATTGTTTTTTATCATTGAATGTGTATTATGATTTATTGGATTTCGGAGTGAGTCCCTAAAATTGAGTTCAAATGATGATGCTGCATTGCAATAGAGATTCAGAAGGCGATATGATAGGGATTGACCGACAGACTCGTGCGAGGTGTCGACGAAGGCCAAGGACTATTTGATGAAAGGCGTTAGTCACTGACTGAAGGAGTTCTTCAAGTGGACAGATAAAATTCAGCTTTTGTTGTGGGGCTAATAGAGAAGATAGATTAAGGCTGGACCCAAATGATATATTCTTTTAGACGGGCATTTTTTGGGGAAAAGAGAAGTGGAATAAAAGCATTAACGTATCATAAATCGCCTTGTTTATTAGAGAAGAGCCATTTGTTTAGTGCATATAACGTATTGGAGTTACAGTACCCTTGACTGAAGAAAGAAATTTTTCACATACGGTGCTTTCGATTAATGCAGTTGAATAGCGAAGAATGCGATGAAACAACTCGGAGAATTCAACTCACAACAGTGCATTTAAGAATAATACAGATTGCTTGGGGATTCGCTTATTGTTGATTCAACATTTGATTGTACAGGAATTGATGTTTGAATGCGTCAGCAATTGATAGGTTCGGATTGAAGAAAAATCAAGATAAACGTTAAATTTGTATTGCAGATTCGATGGCAACTTGGATGAGAGAATGTATTTGGTGAGTGAACAATTTCATGAGATGATGGCATAAATCCAGTGTGAAACATCGTCAAAAGAGTCAATCCAACAAAAAAAAA